TGACCAGATGTTCTGCTGACCAGATGTTTTGTTGACCAGATGGTTTGTTGACCAGATGTTTTGTGAGCAGATGTTTTGTTGATCAGATGTTTTGCTGACCAGATGTTTTGTGTCCAGTTGTTTTGTTGACCAGATGTTCTTCTGACCAGATGTTTTGTGTCCAGTTGTTTTGTTGACCAGATGTTTTGTTGACCAGATGTTTTGTGACCAGATGTTCTTCTGACCAGATGTTTTGTGACCAGATGTTTTGTTTACCAGATGTTTTGTTGACCACAGCTGTCTGATTGTCAGCTGATCCTAACCTTCATGCTCTTTGTTTACTTCCTGTTTGTGTGTCAGTTGAGTTCTGCTGCCCCCAGTGGAGACCTTCAGAGCTGCAGGATGAACCAGAGATGAGCTCAAGGTTAAATCTGATCTTTAGGTTCTGTGTTCTGAGGACTGGGTCAGGCTGGTAGCAGAACTACAGCAGCAGTGGTTCTGTCACCAGCAGTGATTTTATTCCAACATTCAGTTTATTATTGAGACAGAAGCTGTGTTTCCATTGACCATGAAAATGCGCAAATTAGAATTTCGAAAATCAATTTTCTTAACGGAAACACATCAATTTTGAAGAAACTTCCTTTTTTGACAAAATGTTTTTGTGCTAGGATGAGGTGGTTCTTTGGCTGTATCAAAATTAGTGTTTTACACAAAACTGCAATGAAACACTGTTTTCGCATCACAGGAGTCACGTGATGTTTCTTCTGGCGAAAAAGACGACGAAGAAGAAGACAACAGGAAGTAGAAGTAAACTCACCAGCTACAATTTCCCAAAAACGCTGCATACGTAGCCGCTCCCAGGTATAAGGAGCTTGTCAATGGAAAGCCTCGATAAGACGTTAACGTCTCCTCCGATGGCTGATGATGAGCACTAGTGTTGTGGTAGCAAGATGCATGTTTTCATCTGTTGCTGCCATGTTTGTAGTGACTAATGTTGAGAACAAACATATTCACACGTGACTTTAATAGCATTTCTTACTTAATGGAAACACCTCAATTGTGAAACTGTGTTTTTCGACATTAACAAAATTTCAACAAAGTTTTGCACACATTTGCAATGGAAACGCAGCTAATAACACAGGTTATAATGACTTGAGTCTAATCTGTTGAAGTCTCAAACTGGTTCTGGTAAGTGGGTAAAAGGGTCAAATCCTTGGTTTTGTGTCAGGAGTTGGAGGATTCTTAGTTCTTGTTGTAAAATCTAAAGATTGTTTTGTTGAACAGCAGGTGAGGAATCAGACAAAGTGCAGCCCAAAGACCCCTTACGATGAGTATCATAAATGGATTCAGTGTTCCCTCGCCCGGACTCTGGAGCCAGGCCTGGAGGTGGGGCGTGCTGGTGAGCTTTCCCCATGGAGCCTGGTCGGACACAGCCCGAAGAGGAGACGTGGGTCCCCCTTCCCATGGGCTCACCACCTGTGGGAGGGGCCGTAGGGGTCAGGTACAATGT